GAGGAGCAGCGGTGAGGTGGCTCGGGCATCTAGTCAGGATGCCTCCTGGACGCCTCCCTGGTGAGGTGTTCCGGGTACGCCCCACCAGCAGGAGGCCCCGGGGACACGCTGGAGGGACTATTTCTCTAGGCTGGCCTGGGAACGTCTTGGGGTTCCCACGGAGGAGCTGGAAGAAGTGGCTGGGGAGAGGGAAGTCTGGGCCTCCCTTCTGAAGCTGCTGCCCCACGACCCGACCCCAGATAAGCGGAAGAAAATGGATGGATGGACAAGACAAAAATCACAAAAATATACAGATTCGTGATTTGTTTTAAATTGTAGCCAAGTTAAATCAGAGGAGTTCAACAAAACTTCCAAACCTGTCAAGCTATTGCTCTACGTATCGCCTTATACGTACAGCAATACGTATCAGGCGATACGTATTGCCTGATACGCATTTTAATTGATTAAATTAAAATTTTAATCAGAAATTAAAATAAATTTAATTTCTGATTAAATTTATTTTTAATCAGAAATAAATTGATTAAAAACAGCTACTTTTAAATTAGTAGTCCTAAAAATGTACCTTACACCACAATGCTACAGCAAATTAAAAGAAACACAAGTTTAAGGTTCTTTCGGAGGACTGAGCCTGTGTTGTCTAAGGTCCTTCCACCTTGATGCTACTGAGCGGCTGATTGTGTGGAGAGGAGTTCATGACCTGCTGGGTAGATCCGCTGCAGTCCGTGAAAGTCCTCGCAGAGAAATCTGCTGCTTTGCTCTCCGGCGTCCTGAACGACTGAGTGTGTGTGTGGTTGTACGAGGAGACGTATGACTGTGTGTAGGGTGCCAGGAGGGCTTGACTGTTTTGCTGTTGATATGCAGCTGGATACGTTTGTGACTGAGAGGAAGTGTGAGTAAGAGGAAGACTGTCTGCGTTGCTACATGGTGGAAAACCATTTATGCTTGGTGGGCTCATCCCTGGAACCTTAAAGGCCTCTACGCTTTCTAATCTTTCTAAAGAGTTGTAGCCCGGCTGAGTCTGGCCACACTGAGAGAACGTCCCCTGACTAAAAGTGTACGTTTCTTGGCCAAAAGAGGTTGTGGCAGAGGCTGCTGGCAAAGACGATGGCGAGGGAGTTTTGTTGAGCCGCTGCGGGGTTCTGCTACAGAGTCCTGCTTTGGAGGAGAGTGTTTGGAGAGTGCTGAGGATCTGCTTCTGAATCTGCGTCTGCTGTGACTGCTCTCTTTCCAGGCGGCACTGCTGCTCCACCATCATCTTCACTGCCAGGCCCAGGCTGCGAACCTCAGAGCCCAGGGTCTGGATCTGGTCCTGCAAGCTGCCTCTTGCTCTGGTGTCCTGGACCGCTGATGGTGGATTTGAATTCCCCTCGCTACGAGCAGCGGCGCCTTGAGTCCTGGGGGACGGCAGACGAAGAACGGGTCCCGGGGCGGAGGATGTCAAAGGCGCTGGCGGGCGATTAGGAAGGCGAATCCCGACGCGCGGAGGAAGATGAAGGGAGCGGACGCTCATTCCTGGTCTCTGAACGGCAAAACGCCGAGGGGAACCATTATGCCCAGGTTGCTCCTCCATAACAGTCTGAAACAATAAAAGCACTATATTTAGGAGTGGCTATGGCGGAACCTTCAAAAAGGACTGTTCAGACTTTTTTTTTATTGTCACTTCTCTCTCGGATGATGTTATTGTGTTGAAGCTATTTGAACAGAAACACAAGTTTTAGATAAAAACTACAGTTAAACATAATATACAGGAGCAGGAACAGCATTGCTTTTAGGCTTTTTAACGTTTGTTGGGATCGCACCTTTTCAGTGGTCAGGTCATAAGTTTCTGGCTGCTGTGGTAGAGCGCTGCTTAAATCTGAACTTTGAACACCAGCCTGATCTCTCCTTAGCAACGCCGCCATCTGGTGGAATGACTGGTAAATGTGAAAAGTATATATATAAAAATATATTTTAGCATTTTATACAGCTTTAAAGCAATTCAGCAATTTTATAATTGAGAAAACTCTGTAGGTACCTTTGTCCTATGTGACAAAGCTCTGTCCAAAAGCCTTTTTCGAGCTGCCAAAATTGAACTGGTGGCTGGGGAAGGTGTAAGTCTTCTTCTCAGAAATGCTCCAGAAGCCGCTAACGTGGAAGACAGGTTTGAACTTGTGTCTGGCCTCGTTACAGGTGGCTGGGTCGCCCTTTGCTGGCCATGCTGTGCAAGTGAAGTGACACTAACAATCTGAATGTCGTTTTCTTCCTTATTTCCACCGGACTGCTGCTCCGGCCTGCTAGCCTCCCCAGATCCAGAGGAATTTGAGGTGGTCTCTGAAGTGGTGGATGCCTGTTTGGAGAAGTCAGCTGGAGCTGCATACTCAGTGCGATGAGGCCCGTCCCTCATCAGGTTCTGAAGGTGAATGTTGCTCCACCTCTCCTGCAATGCCCCAGCTTGCGCTTGAGCTGTCTGCGCCAATGTGCTACCTGCGGCCTCCAGAGGTCTAACCCTCCCTGGTGGTCTACCCTGGAACTCCCTCAGGTACAGGTAGATGGCTTGAGCGGACACCTTGATGTTTTCCAGCTCCAGCACAGCTTTGATTTTGCGGAAACTGAGACCAGCCTTCCGCAGCTCCACCACTTTGTGTTTGGCAGCATCGTCCAGTCGGCCCATGCTTGTTCAGTCTAGATAAATCCCCAGTTCAGATGACAATCACTACAAGAGTCAGAAAATAAAAGAAGTTAGTAACAGTTTATGTTTTTAAAGCACACTGTTATCTTGCATTGTATTTACTGTAAGTACATCTTTAAACAACAAAAGTGCTTTTTGAAGAATAACAAGACCCATCACGTTTTTGAAGAATGCCTGTTGCTTTGGATGTTTTGTATAGTCAGTGTGTATTGGGATAAAGTGTGTAGAATTCAGTGTGTTTAAATGAGTCAGAACAGACTACTTTACTTTTGCCCTAATGTCAACAACACCTTTATTTGTTTACTTTGTAATTTTGAGGTAAAGATGTAATGCACCTCACAGTCTATTTTGAGCCATCATATAATTAATTGCTGAAATGATCAGAAAACAGACCAGAGTATGTCAGATGAATGTACTGCGAGCCCTCAGCATGCTGAGGTGAGCTTGATCTTCGATGGTGCTGACTGAGTGTCTGCATATGGTATCACATATCTTATTAGGGTGTAGTCACTGCTGCAACATTGTAATAAGAATTGTGTTGATTCTGCAGGACATATGTTCCTCTACAGATAATCTATCAGATTCGCGTCAGGACTTTGGCTGGGCCACTCAAAATTACAAATTTTACTTCCAGTTTAAAGACATTTTGGTAAAACTTAAAGATTACTTGAAATCTAAATCAGCATTTTCTGGCTATGGTATAATAATACATTATTGTTAAAGTTAACTACTACTAAAGTGTGGTAGGATCTTTTGAAGTGTGTGGATCATTTTCATAATTTCATCTACTTTCTCTATTCTTATTTACATGTTTGAAATAAAACAGCTTTCCAGTACCAAAACGTTGTTGTTGTTGGACTTATTTTAGTCAATAATTTAAGGAAATCTCTGGCACTATTCGAATAGGATTCAAATAAGATGATTGTTTTGCATCTAGCCCTTCACTGTGTTATGTGCTTGCTCTGCTTTGCATATTTGATAATTATATTATATTAAACAAAGTAAAAGAAAAGTGAAACTGAACCAACGGTCATGCATGACTTTATACTTCAACTTCTTCCTTTTTTCCAATTTGTAATCTTTACAGTAAATAGAAGAGAAGTTCAACATTAATTAGTTTCCCCCACAAAAGCACCTTTGAAACTTGTCATGCTTTATGTCTTCAGTTGAGCCATCTTAAGAAACTCTTTTCAATGACACATGTTCAACAAGATTTATTGCTCACAGAGGCAAGAATCAAACAGTGTGGGTTGAGATTTTAGTTCACTTATGAATTATGTTCTAATCACACGCTGGTTATAATTTTTCATGGATAAAGGGCCTTGTAAAAGTAATCATACTCCTTTCACATTTTCTCATACTAAAAAAAAATAACTGATGTACTTTATAAGGCTTTCATATGTAAAGAGCAGCATAATAGTGCATAACTGTAAAGTGGAAGGAAAATTATAGGTGGAATCCTACTTTTAGTAAATATAAATCTGAAAAGTATGGCCTCAAAATATACTTAACCCCTTTCAACTGAAGCCCCCCAATAACAAAAAAATACAGTATAATGATTTGGCTTCAGACGTAAATAGAGAATTAGAAAATAGAATGCACTTGCATGTAATTTAATCTTAATATAAATACAGCTGAGTGTATTTATATTATATTTGCTTCGTAGACTTGCTGAGATAATGTTTGGGACTGACCAATGATAAAGCTGTGGAAAAAATTTTAAGCAGGGTTAGGTTATAAAACAATATCCTAATCCCTAAGGGCACTGTTCAAAAAATATGTCTGTCCACCTAAAGTGACAAGCTGGGTTAAAGGAAAACATTAATTAGAGATGCGTGGTAATTATCGAAAAATTGCAGGGATCCACAGTTCATGTGGAATAATTTGTTAACTGGCAACTATTAGTTATGCACTAAAAATGTAGTCTTTATGGAATACAGGGAAGAAGACGGGCATTTCCAGAAAGAGGCCCTAGGAAGTTCTGTTTGCAGTCTGTTATAGACAAAGCAAATATTTGGAGGGAGGTGCCCTTGTCAGATGATGTGCACAAAAACCTGTTTTGCTGAAAACACATTTACTACTTTAACTAGTACTCCCAAATTAACATTGTCAACTTATCTTAGTTGAACCAATTAATTTAAGAAAATCTGAATGCCTATATCATTTGTGGACACTAGTGAGGAAGTCCATGCAAAAGACTAGGGTGGAGGAAAACGACTATATATATATATACAGACAAAGCTACAGTCAAATGGTTTAAACCAAGCCATGCTAATGTTTCTACAGCTCAGTAAAAGTCTAGATCTAAATTCAATTAAGAACTTGTGGCAAGATTTTAAAACTCATGGTCAGATGCTGCCCGGATTGAGTTCTGCAAAGAAAAGCTAGGTTTTGTTGGCCTTAGTAAAAGCCCAGTAAAATACATTTAAATTTGAGCTTATAACATGACAATGTATATGAAACAGTTTCAAAGGTTTTAATAATCTAAATGAAAAAACTATTTGATCTTACCATCATCTCTTTTATATATCTGAATTCAGAATAATAACTATGTCGCTGGCTTTGTGATAACTTGTAATAAACTCCCAACTATACACCCGTTTTAGCCAATCAGCTTCACAAGTAAATGCCCCACACAGGGCTGCTTGAGAATAATCCGCATGTGCAGGAAAGTCACCTAGATTAGCTGAGCTAGCTAACAACAACAGCCAAAATAAAGTGCAGCACTCACCTGCGGAAGCCAGTCGAAAATAAGGAAGCTCTGCTGCTTTTTCACATTTAAAAAAACGATCAAATTATTTCATGCACACAAGTGACACGGTTTGGATATATTTCTGTCAAGCGCTCTCTCTCATACGCAAACGCGTAAACCATTCCTCGTCAAATAACGTAAAATAAACAAATGATCATAAGTGGCGCTCAAGCAACTACGCAACTTCCGCTATCGTCATCAGCCAGCGACGTCTTTCCAGGCCGCGAGTTGTTCAACTGTAGCCTCCTGGTCCGAAAAAGAAATGTAGGTTCAAGCTTTTTTGGAATAAAAACAATAAATATATACGTGCGTGAGATATATTTACTCAACTTTTAAGTATTTAATGCTTCACATTGTCGTAGTTTCGCTATAGGAAGAGCTGTGCGGAAGGTTAACGGACGCAGCTGGTTTTCAGGAGGGGGAGAATGAAATTCAATGGCGGCCTGTTTTGTCCGAGAGCCGAGCTTTTTCATGAATACACAGAACTGTGTATTAATGTTCTGGCCGTGTTCCTAACATTATTATTCTAGTATATTTGTGCTGTATAATGAAAATCTTTAAAATTAATCAACCATTTGTGTTTTTGATTTTGATAGACTGTATATATAGAAGCAAATATAACCGCAGTAATTTGAACTCAAAAATAAAAACAGCCAAACAAGCAGGTAAAAATGAATAAAATCTTTGAGTATGGTGTTTACCCAGCAGAATTATTTACTGCGACGTTGTGGACTATTAATAAGGAATAAAATTGGGATTTTTTTTTGTTTTATATAAATTTTAATCGGTCTTCAGCTTATCTTTTCTGCACAAGCTAATTTCTTTGCATCTTGAAGTTCATATGTTGTTGGTTTTTCGGCCACTTATTGTACAAAGAAGCCAGATGTACACATTATCCTATTAAATGAGCTATCTCACTTTAACACGAAATAAACTGAAAGATTTATTAACAATATTTATGCTTTTTAAGGCTGGTATAGACAAAATTCATCAAGAATGTGATGTGGTTAGATCTTATATGCAGATTTCTTTCTGTTTGTTTTTTTCCAAGAGCATGACACAAGCATAACTTGTGTATTGTTTAATGTGTTTCTTTAAATTTAGGGCTCCATCACCCACAAAGCGGAAGGAGGATGAGAAAACCAAAGATAGAGGTAAAGAGAAGACTGGTACCAAGGATGGAGACAAGGAGAGGGGGAGGGAGAAAGTGAGGAAGCGCCGTAGTGCTTCCTCTGGCAGCAGCAGCAGCAGCAGGTTTGCATTCTGATGCATTTTTCTAGAGTATTTTATGTGTTTTAAATGCCCGAGCAAGATATTTTGAGTAGAATAATTGTGTTTCTGCTTCTGCTCCAGATCGAGCTCATCGTCCAGCAGCAGCTCGGGTTCCAGCTCAGGTTCCTCAAGTGGCTCCAGCTCTTCTGGCTCCAGCCGCACCGGATCCTCAAGCTCTCGTTCCTCCTCCTCCTCCAGCTCCTCAGGCTCCCCGAGCCCCAGTCGCAGGCGCCATGACAACCGTCGCCGCTCCCGCTCACCGTAAGGGTTTCCTTAAAATCTTCTCTACAAATTGATGTTTCATAATTAGGCTTTATTGAAGAGGTCTAACTTACCACTTAACGTTTTTGTAGCTCTAAAACACAGAAGAGGGGAGATGATAAAGACAGAAGAAAGCGAAGCCCCACCCCAAAACCAACCAAGGTTCACTTAGGAAGGCTGACCAGGAATGTGACCAAGGTTAGTGGAAAGAGTCCAAGGTGACCTGGAATGTTTTCCCTCTGGAATGCTACTTTGCTTTGGTGTATTTTTCACATAAATTATGTCTGCTAATGCTGAAATGGTATTTCTGTTGCGTGCGTATTGCTGTTTCAGCATCTTTGTTTTGGAGACCTAGATCTCCTTTCACTGCAACAGTCCTAAATGTGACTGAAGATGATAACGTCTAACAATACAGCATTGATCTCTGATTTAAACAAAAACTATCTCCTCCGATTTCAAAATTCTAGATATCGTGGGACAGAAGGAAAGTGTTCCATTTGTAAAATAAAAAGCAGCAAGTTTCTGTGGCAGAATGTTTTGAGTGGTTTTGTCACTGCAAATATACATCACTACTTATAAATTCATAAAATCACTCTGAACTTTATGAAAGGTCTAACTGTAACAAACCTATCTGATCACTATGACAACAGAGAAGAAAGCTCTGTTTGCGATTATAGCCGAGTGCTCTAGAGCCAGAACTTTGTAATTGTTTAACTGTGGCTACACCCTGAAAGTTACTAAGTCAGAAAAAAAGTGTAACCTTTACAGATTTTAACATTTACGTAACATGAACACTGAGATATGTTGGTGTTAAACTAAAGGAAAACAAATAAAATGCAAGGAACTATGCTGGAGTTTTTCTTTCGGTTACCAGGGTAGTTTTCTTATTTCTCTGTTTGAAACACATTCTGTACTTCATTGAACCAGCAACACTCCTGCAGAAGGAATGACCCAGTCAGTCCTCAGTGGATGTAGTATTTGTACATTAATTGTGCATTTTGAACATCACTTTAGAAACAAACAGAGCTGATGGCCAGGATAAAATAAAACGTAAAGTTCTGAGGTAACAATACTCTTGGTTTGATGGTCAGGACATGCCTTTAGTTTCTAAAAGAACAAAAAAGAAAGACAGACTGGACCTGATATTTAAAAAGAATGTCATGAGGACAAATGCACGCATAATCTGTTGGGCTAAAGTAGAGTTATACAAAAATTATAGACATGATATGTTATCCTTCTGCTTATGATCTAGTAAATCCATTGATGATGATGCTTCTCTGGTTAACAGGATCACATCCAGGAAATCTTTTCTACTTACGGGAAAATAAAGATGATAGACATGCCTGCGGATAGGCTCCACCCACACCTGCCCAAAGGCTACGCCTATGTGGAGTTTGAGACTGCCGAAGAGGCTGCGAAGGCCCTTAAGCACATGGATGGAGGTTGGTGTTCGTCTCAGTGCCCGTTAGTTACCCTAAGCACGCGGCTGTGTCTGTGTTCACTGAATAAATATCTTTGATTGGTTTTAAATGTTTAGGTCAGATTGACGGACAGGAAATCAGTGCAGCTGCTGTGCTGACTCAGCGGGTTCGTCTCCCACCTCGCAGACTGTCTCCTCCTCCTCGGCGAATGCCCCCACCACCACCAATGTGGCGTCGCAGCCCCCCACGCATGAGGAGAAGGTACCCACTAGTGTTCCATATAATTTTATTCATTTATTTTCACTAGCATATTTTCATGAGGTTGCTCCTGCTTACTCTTGTCCTCTCAGGTCTCGCTCCCCGAGAAGGCGGTCCCCTGTACGCCGCCGCTCTCGCTCCAGATCCCCCGGTCGCAGGCGCCACCGCTCTCGCTCCAGCTCCAACTCCTCCAGATAAATGGTTGTTTTTCCTTCAGAGATCACATGGTTTCATAGATTCTGACACCAGATCAGCTGCAACTCTTACCTTCTTGATGACTTCAACAGGATTTAAATCAGATTTTTTTGTAGCCATCTGTATACATGGTAAAAGCGGAGGTGCTTTTGTCATATTTTGGGCTAAGATTACTCTGAAAAGTTGGCTTTCTTTTTATGTTGTCTCCACAGACATCTACCAATGTTTTGTTTGAAATGTGACGTATTTTTACCTTGTATTGAGTTTTTAGACATTGTGAAAAATAAAAGTGCTGAACTGTCCACATCCCCCCCAATGGCTTCTTTCCTTGATCTTTTTTTTTGCTGCGCACCCACTTAGTACTTGGGACAGGATTTCTGCTCAGTCTTAAAAACGTAAGGATTAGAAAAATCGTGCTCCATTTTCTGCAAAATAACTATCAAACATCAAATGAAAACTTCATTGGGAAAAAAAAAAACAAACTTTAGTGCACAAAGCATTCATTTGGTATTTATGAAATCAATTTGCAGACCTACAACATCCAGGATTGAAATACAGAAAGCCCAACATGCTCACAAGCTCTTCAGTGCCATTATTCCATGTCAGAAAGACATTCAGAAAGCTTATGTGGCAGCCACAAACTAATCTATTAAAGATTATTTAGATTACTTGTCAGATATGGGTTGAGTTTTTTTATTTAAATTTTTTTTTTTTAAAGAAACTAGATTAAGTTAAAGATTTGACAGCCTTGGAAGAAAACATGTAGAGAAACTTCATTTTCCAAAGGGAGAATGAACCAAGAAGTACAGTTAGCTCCAGCAGTTCAGATCACAACATATTCATGCGTTAAAATTGCTCAATTTATTTTCTGTTAAACTGAAAAGCATATCCTCCCTTTAAATGTTATGCTTCGTCTTCGTCTATCGTATAAAATCCCAACAGAGCACACTGTAGTGTAGTTTCTTTGTTATGGGATAAAATAAGAAAAACCTCAAAATGTGTGAAGACTCATTCTTAATTACTATTTATAACCAAGGTTTTAAGAAGAGTATGGAAATCAGCGGGACTCTTGCTTTCAAAGAGTTTGATCAGTTGGGTGCCAAATGTTTGACTCTTTTTCTGAACCTTGTCGACGCAAGAGCAAGTTTTTAGAGAATAATTTCACTTTTTTCTTTTCTTTTTATCCTCTCAAGTCCCGTTCAGATTTGATCTTTAAAGGATGTTCATCTTAAAGCTGCCACTGGGTGTCTCACTTCATGGGGAGACAAAGTTGAGAGCTCGCCTCTGACAACATGCATTCACCAGAGCATGCCCGAGGTGTCTTCTTCCTTCCAGCTGAAATGACAGCCTTCTCGTAAGTTGTTTGGACATCTTCCTGTCCCCGAGAGCCCATCGAGCTGACTTTGGATGACATTTGAGGGGTCTTCACGCCTCTGAGCAGGAACCGGTCAAGGAGCGAGCGTTTGCGATGTCTTCGGACCAGGAAAGGATCAGGGAGCGCATTAAGGAGCTCCTAAGAAAACCTGGGAATGGAAACTGTGCCGACTGCGAAGTTGCAGGTGATTTTTGGAGCCGATCTAAATAAGGCTGGTTAACAGTTTTTTTATTTTATTTTATTTTTTAGTTATTGTTAGTGTTATATATTGCACAGGGGGATTTTCTTACGAGGGTTTCTCAATCGTGCGAGTAGCTGGCTTCTTCTTGAGATGTTCTGACTCACAACTTAAGAGAAAACCACAGTGTCACAATTACCATTGAGCTGTTTTTCTTAAGCAGCAACGATGTACTCGTTTCTGTCCTCAGTGACAATGCGGTCAGAACATGATGAAACTAAGAGTTGACTCAGTCAACATCCTTTCAGCAGCAACACGCTGTTGCGTTTTATTTATTCAGGCGGATATCTTTATTCAAAGTTTTCACAGGATGAGATTTTTGCCCAGTGTTAACATGGGCAAAAATCAATCTGGTCACTAAGTTGCTGTTCCTTGATACCAATAAGTTTGTATCTGCAACATCACTGAGATACTTTATCCCAAATATATGTAACTACATACAAACATCCTTTTTTTTTAATCTCATGTTCAACTTTATGTCATTTTAGCCAAATTTGAAGAGGGGTTGCTCATGACAATTTTACAAATTTTACTTGTGGGACATGTGTTTGCTTCTCTGTAAATTTAACGTTAATTGTTCTGATTACAAACAGGTCCCATTGTGTTTGATATAAAATACACCACAGATGCAAAAACTACTAAGGAATTTATCAAGCAACTACAGCCTAATATTTGTGTTAATGACAAAAATATATATTCACTTACTCCTTTCTTTTTTTCATGTCACTAGGCATGTGAGGCATTACCATATAAGGAGGCTGGTAGGCTACATGTGCCAGGGCAGTTTTTGCCCTCTACAGGATAATAGTGTCCTAATTGCATAATGAATGACTTTATTAAGTCAGGGTTGCCTCTGGTTCCTAGGAACCACTGTTGCTCGGGTCCTGAGTTGGTTCTCACACATTCCCATTGTTCAGAAAATGGCCCAGCAGAGACTATGTTTCTTGTGACAACCAAGCAAAGGAGCTCCTGTCCGTCCTCTACTCTGCCATTAATCATTCTGACCTGTGCACATCCATCACTGTGTGATTTGGCCTATCCACTAAACAGAACAGCGACCATGAAACAAACTATTAAGGTCTGCAGAGAGGGTCATCAGGACTAACCTTTTGTCTGACTTGCTCTATAGCTCTATAGTCAGGAAAGGGGGAGCTGACATCTCCTCAGACCATAAACTTCCTGGTCACAAACTGTTTAAACTTTTATCTTCAAGTCTCCACTACAGAGCACTATTTGGAAAAACCCAGCAGCCACAGAATGGACATAGGACTATATTGTTCTTTCAGATTTTTTCCAATGTATAAAGTTGATATACGCTGTGAAACCAAATTCAAATTCCTTGTTTATACACGCAAACTTGGCAATTAAAGCTGAAGAAAAGACTTGACAGGGCTGTCACAAACGGTGGTGACACAAAATGATGTATCAAGAACAGCTGTGAGGACTCCCAAACCAAGATAAGAATGATTTCTTATCCGGCAGGACCTGACAGGATACGGGAAGCGTTGAGTCGTGAGGGTGACAGAGATGTCATCCCAGGATTCTTGCAGCCCTAGAGAGTGGACAAAATTCTGTGTTTTTATGGAGTGTGTATTGGCCTTCACCCTTTTTACAAACATAAATTGGGGCTCCGTACCCTCCTGTCAGCTTCAATCTCACCCTCATCTACTCTGAAGCGCAGCTACAGTTTCCTGTCTGTGAGTGAAGTCACACCTTTGCTGCAGAACGTTCTTGCTCAATGTGTATGTGGTGATCGCAGTTGAGTTGCTTGCTTCTGTTTGGTGATCTGCTTCCTGTCTACTACACGTGTGGAGTGCAGCGAGGCAGTCGTCTAGGCAGACGACTGCAGAAGAGTTAAAAAAAAAAACAACAACCACAGAAGTAATTGGAAAGGAAAACAGTTATATTTTTAGACATATGCACACTTCACTGCTACACCTTGTATGTAATTTTTGGCTGAAGAATCTTCTCAAAGTGTGTTCACTAAACGTTTGATTTTCATATTTGTTATGAACGTACAGTGACTTATGAATATCTTCAGAACTCTTAACTTTTTCTTTTACGACTACAAACTATCACTATGTCTTTGTGTTAGTTTATCACATAAAAATCCAGTTAAAAGTTTGTGTTTGCAGCATGAGAAAATGTGAAAATCTGTTTTCCCCAAGATCAATTTTCAGCCTTAAAACCATCACTCACGGAACGTAAACACTTTCACACAGCATCACGTCCTTTTTAACTGGTAATCATGGATATTAATGCACTGAATACTTGATTGAAATAACTTTAATCATCTAGATTTGAAAAATTGAATTTAGTTTATTGTGCCATAATTACACATAAGGTCACAAAAGACAAAACTCCTGTCAATGCAATACTTTAGTTTTGAGAAGTTTCAATATCAACATGAAAACTTGACCTTTTTATATATTAAGAATGATTCTTTATTTCATTCTTGATATAAAAGAGTTATATCAAGAATAGTTTTTTAGCAGGAGTGACCTGCTAAAAAATAATCAGTAAAGTGCAGCTATATTTTATTAGAAATTATATTTAACACTAGAAGGACTACCGAATAGAAACATACTTTATGTCGCCATTGCATAGATCACCTTTAACTTTTATCTTTGCTTTCTTTTTTGTGAAACCTTTGCGTCAATATGTGATAATATGATTACTAAGATATCGTCCAAAAACAAGTTTACTGCAGTTTTGGTAAACTTTAGCAATAACCTCAGTCCTTCCTGATGCAAATATGAGATCATTACACAATTCTTTAATTTGGGAAGAAGGTTTTGTGAAATGTTCTTTGTTGTAACTGGAAGGTTTCCACTGCACCCTTTACCTCTTAGAGACAGTGAAATAAACATAGCTCTTCATTGTTACATTTGTTTGCTGACATTTTCTGGAAAGGGCTTCTACTTGTAGTTATTAGTAAAATTTTCAGTCTGTGTTTGGTGAAAGTAAAACATTGTCACTATGTTTAAGACAACCTAATGCTTGGCCAACTTTAAATTCAACCGAAAAGCCACAACAGAAACTCTGTTCTGCTCTAATCTGACTGCAGGATCTGCAGCAGTTTTTACACAAAACTCTTTGTCATTCTCTACTCAAGTATTAGACTCCTGTCTCTGCTTACTGAAATGATTATTATCGCATGAGTTCAGATTTCACAACTAATTATCTACTTGTGTTCTAATTAAGACTCAGGAACTCTATAAATGGTAAAATTAGGGTTGTTTTTACTGTTTGCAGCTAGTTTAGAAACAATCTGGAGAGACAATAGAGACTCTGACCATATGCATATGCAGTAGAGGAATGACCAAATGCATTATCTGATTTCCTTTAACTCAGGAGTGAGTTAAATGAAATCAGATTTAACTCACTCCTGAGTTAAATCAGGAGTGATTTCATTTAACTCAGGAGTGAGTTAAATGAAATCAGATAATGCATTTGGTCATTTAGCCCACATGTAATATTCCTCTGTTCACTTCAACTAATTTCTGATATATGTGTTATATTAAATTGCAGACCCAGAATGGGCATCCTACACCCTGGGGGTGTTTGTGTGTCACAGTTGCTCAGGTCTCCATAGAAACATTGCTCAGATCAGCAAGGTAAAGTCCCTACTGCTGGATCCCTGGAGCTACTCTGAGTTAGAGGTGAGATTTTCTTTATTTTATTTTATTTTTTTCAATTTTACTTCAAAACTTTCTGAACAAATCAAAAGACCCAGAGTTTCATCTTTAAGCATGAATTGTTATTGACTATTCTAATTATTTTTATTGATTCTTTTTTTTGATTTTTTTACTTGCTTAAAAATAGTGGGAACATGCAATATTTTAATTAAGTAGACTGATAATATCATCGCGCCAAGGCAAAAGATTCTTAAAACTTTTTTTGTGTTGTTTCTTGTTTTCTTGACCTTGTAAAAACACTTTCAATATATTCTCAGCAGCAACAAGACAGGGATATGGGTCACTCTTCCTTTAAAAAACAACAAAAAAATCTTTATTTTGCCAAGTTTTGACAAGTTCAAATCTGCCAGCTGGATGTTTCATTTACTAAGATATTAAAAAGGAGACATACTTTTTGTTTAATCAGTTAGAAACATTATCGTACGAGATAAAAAAGCAGCCTTCAATCTGCATCAGCTACTGTATTATTCTTGAATTGACACAAAGTCATTCTACGGGCAGCAAACCGCCCACAGGCCACTCTTTTGACACCTCTGATTTAAAAGAAAACTCAGAGTAACCACTGCTTCCAGTGTCTTTATTCCCACTCAAACTACTGACAGTGCCGCTTTCTGCCTCCTGCGTTATCACCGCTGCCAGTCAACGGTATCAATTGAGCTTGGTCTAAAAGGCGTGAGCCAGCAGCTGGCCGACACAGCCAGCGTCTTTGTACGAGTTTGCAGGGGCGCTTGTGTGTTTCTAAGATCTTGGAAATGTGCAGACCTTTATGTTACAGAAGACGTGCATAAAGCAAATGACTCCTCTGTCTTCATAAAAAAAAAAAAAAAAAAGGGGAGAAAAACGCCATTCAAAAGCAGGAAATTAAATTTACGTTTGTGGCAATAGTGGTCGTCCTGTTCTTGTGTCTGTGTGGACTCTTTCTGTTTGATTGGTTGTTTTGAAAATGTGCAAAATAATATATGTTTATTTCAGCTTAAAAAAACAACAAAGCAAAGATGGGTTATTAAATCTTACAGCTGCTAGGAGAAAGGCCCTATGCTAATGCTCCTTTGTGCATTTAGGATGCAGCAGTCTGTCACTGAAGAAACTTGCAGAATCTGCAACAGCTTCATGTCCATCAGTGACGTTATTTCGGCCAGAGTTCATTTATCTCCCACCGCATACACTGCGTCGAGGGGGCATCCTAGGACAGAGCTGTTCTTCCTGATCAGCCTGGCTAATTGCTTCCTCTCAGCTGTAGATAAGCTGCTGCTCCAACTTATGGTGCCATAGAAAATGGCGGATTTTACTGCAGAGTCAAAAAAAACTGTTCAGGCACGCCTTCTGCACTCCCAAAAATCTCAGCCTCCTCAGCAGGCCGTTTGCTCTGTCCCTTCCCTTAAAATGCATCAGTGTTGTGAGTCCAGTCCAGTTTATTGTCCAGGTGAACACTCAGGTACTTTTAAGAGTCCATTATCTCAATTCCGCTCTTAAAAACAGGTTTTTAAGATAGCAGTGCATTCTGCAGGAAATTGGTAACATTATGGTAACATATTGTTCCAGACGACCAGTGTGTGCAAGTGTGTTGGGAAATTTATACACTGACTTGCAAACAAATTCATCATGTCCCTTGAACTTTGTCACATGTTGATACCCCAAAATAAAATCAAATGCAAAGAAATCTCCCAGTTAGCAGATGGAGTGTGTAATTCACTTCTAATGGAGCACTGTTTATGCCCTCATCCAAAAAATTTAAATAGAACGACACAACTGTGAACCTACAAATGGTCATTCTGCTAAAGTAACAGGTTGGGTAAGGATAGCATTAATCACACAAACAGCCAAGTGGTCTGTGGTCTCTTTGGAGGAGTTGCAGAGAACCACAACTCAAGTTTGAAAGTCTGTCAGCAGGACAACTTTTTGTCATGCTCGTCATACTTTCATTTTTTTTTTTTTTTGGTAATATGACAAAATGTAAAAAAGTTCTAGAGAAATTAATGTGTTTGCAAGTCACTGTCATATATAAGAAACAAATAAGAGGAAGGATGTCGTAAAGCAGCAACATCGCTCTTTCAAAGAATAGAACCTAGAGAGACACTAGGGACTAGTAAAACTCCCCCCCAACCTTATTCATAAGGTGAAATATTCTGCTGTTGTTGTTGTTTTCTTCTGTATAACTCCATGCAAAGTCTTGCCCTTTAGCTCTAAAATTACAGCAGCACGTCACTGAAAACAAGCCTTTTATTTCAACAGCATAACATGACCTGAAACAGTTTTATAATAAGGATCTCTAAAAGATTAGAAGGTTTCACATCTGCTTTTGATCGGTTACAGTATCAGCTGCTATCGATAATGTCTTTCGCGTGAATGCTGAGTGAGTGTGCAATTCTTAAACCAGCTTTAAGAATGAATAAATAAATAAAGACCACTAACAGTAGGAATCTGCCTTTATAGCGACATTGTTTTACTGAAAGCAGAAAGAAAGTTTGTCGTGTACTTCACTCATGAACATTATCTCTAGATCAGTGGTTCTAACACTAAGTGCCACTTCTATAAATACTTAATAAGCCATATATGTACCGCAGGCAAGCCATAATAAATGACACTACAGTTAGATGTCTCCATTAGTTGTTTTCTCACAAAGAGGGAAAGGAAAGTTAATTCATTTTCACAACACATTCAAAGAAAGAGTTTTCTTGTTCAATTTGGAAAAAAAACAAACAAACAAACAAGCAGGGCTCTTGAAGCTATAATCCCAATGATGAAGGACAGACGTTTCTCCTCATCCAACCTCAAAATCCAATATGACTAATAGTGATAGCTGCAGTGATAAAAGTTTGTGGAAGTTTGTGCCTCATTAAATCTTGTCCCACAATACACATATACAGCATGTTTTTTTTTTTAATCTTCTTTTGCTGTTTGAGTTTATTAAAAACAACAAATTAGCTTATACTAATAGTGATTCGCCCTTTAGAATTACATTTCTCAACTTGCACAAGGATTAGTTGTGCTCGATATCATTCCTCGATCAAAGTACGGTTTCTAAGGGAAATGGGGCGAAGCAGTAGTAGCCTCTGACTATCTTTGCACAGAGATTTCTGCTTCGGTTTGTCAGGGTGGGGTTTCTAGAGCATTCCACAACACTTCCTCTTTTAAGTTGCATATGTTTGAAGCATGGGTCAGTGTGTTTGACCTGCCATCTTGTTTGAGTTTAGTAGCTTTATGATGCAGCTGGTTTCTGTTGTGTTTTTATTGTAAATAAATCAGAAAAACATTTCCTCTGAGTGCCTTGAAAAGAAGCTCAAATACCACCAGTGAAACTTGTGACATAGTTAAAAAAAAAAAAAAATTGTGTCTAAGGATGGGGAGTAATCAGAAAGAAATCAACTCATTTAAGTAATGGGAGATGTTATTCAGATCTTGACACATAGCATCTAAACTAAACCCGGAACATGGGAGTAAACCCGTTTGCGGTATTATTTATCATACTCTACCATTAAGGGGTTTAATGACAGCGGCCCATTTCAGTATCGCAGCACATATGAACTCATTGTAAGTTAACACGATCAGCTAGCTAAGTTAATGTTGCTCAGTGTTTGCTATGTGGAAAACAAGCCTTCATCTTTCTTCTTTGTAGTTTATAGATTCTGTGGGGAACAATGCTGCAAAGGCCAAATATGAACAGATAGTACCTGCCTTCTATTATCGACCCACCTCTAAAGATTGCATGTAAGTAGTCCTGCTTCTATGACCCTCTTTAATCTTAGGATTTTCTGTCCTGTTTGGTATTTGAGTTCAAACTTTTACACCTAAGACAATTTATTTATTTTTTTCATTACACATTAGGATAAAATTGCTGAAAGTCTCATTTTTCTTGGATTAATCCGTGTTCTGAATAGCTTTTGTTTGCATCGCAGCACCACATTGACACACAAAGTACTGAAATCTGACCATTGTCATTACAGAGGTTACAGCTTTTTGTTCTAAGTTCTTTTTAATCAATAAGCACTTTATTAAAAAAGCATAAAGATGTTTAAAATGGTCAACAAGATTTTTTTTTAAGCAGGCTCAATTCACGTTCTTTTTTTATCTTAAAGACCACAACCATGTTTGACCAAACTAGGACAAGTGAGGCGTATAATGCTGCAGATGTTGTTCTAAATTGTTATGTGATTTCCTGTATGAGTCATTAATGCACTAGTTAAATAATTTTTTCAGGCCGTTACTCTAGAGAAAGTTTCCCACTGTTCTGTTTTCTCTATTTGTAGACAATTGCTCTGAATTTGGTTTTCTGAAGTCCAAAGTCCGTAGAAATGACGTAGGAACCTTTCCAAACTGGAAAATGTCAATTACTTACCTTTTTGTTTCTTTTTTGTCAGATTGAAACATGTTTTGCATTTTGAGTTGACTATATATTGCCAGACAGTTTATATTTAAGTTTATATCTATTTTATTTTTACTTGAATTTGGCATTAATATAAAGGCCTGGTTGCGGTGAGTGGATCTGAACGGGCAATTTTTGACACATGACTTAATTAGTTTAAAGAGCTTTTTGCCCTTACCAAATAAAATGTTAATTTGAAAATTGCTGTCTTGGATTCACTCAGTTTGCTAATTGATGATCTGAAACACTGAAGCGGGACAAAAAGGTGAAGAGTTTATTTTCACAGCACCCTATTTTAATGCTTTCTGAATAATAAATGTACTGCGGCGGACAAGTTTGCATTACATTCCGTGGACAAACATCATCTTCTGTACTGGTTAGTGCTTAGGCGTAATTGGCAACTTCGCATTTAGAGTTCTGCTCAACAAAAAGATGCCATCTGTGGTTTTGGTTCACCAAGATGACGCGTACAAGCTTAACAGTTATAAAGGCTGTAGTTATAGAACCATGTGTATTTAGAGCTAATGTGTATTTGAACTTAGCAACCTAAGTGAATAAAAGGCTTTAATAAGAGATAACTGAGTTTAAAAACACATGCGAGGCTTTTCATTTAAATTTCTTCTTCTTCAGAAGCTAAATTGGAGGAGTGACATTAACCACAAAAGATCGCCTCTTCCTTTTGAGACAAATGAGATAAACAACCATTAATCATTTACCATCCACTGTGTTCTGCAGGCTCCTACGGGACCAGTGGATCCGAGCCAAGTACGAGAGGAAGGAGTTTATGTGCGTAGAGAGGCAGGAGCCCTACTCTGCAGGTAACAATGAAATGTACCTGTACAATTAAACATGAGATGCTTGTTTGAGTGCATTGGAACCAAACTGTTTGCATCTTGCACAGCAAAACAGATTCAGTGGTGAATGAATTCCCAGCATCACGGGCAAATGATTAACAGCGTTCTTGGTTGCAATGGCTGACACAAAATGAGAAGTTACAGACAAAGCTTTGCATGCCAGTGGTGCATTTACTAAATTACCTTTTTTTTTTTATCTCTGTCAGTCAGACAGACACAGTTTAATGACTGTCTGTCTATCTGTGCCAGACAGCTAGCTAGCTTTGTCAAAATTGCTAAAACATTTCATACCCATCAGTGTAACGGAGGTAACATTATTCTAAAGGTACGACTTGTTAAGCTGTTAATTAAACAGGTAATATTAAACTCATTGTGTTACACTATGAAAGCAGAATGCCTGTGACGTCACACAATTTTTAAAATTTATTTAGTTTGTATATATATATTTTTGAATAAAATAAATCTGTGGTATTGTAACATTTTTGTGTCTTTGCTGAAACGTTTTAAGCTGTTAGAATCTCATGCATGCTATGTATAACAAATGAGAAACAGCATTTGCTTTTCTTTTCTTCGCTGTACTTTTGCAGCATGTTGAGTCAAAGTTCTCTTTAAATAATTTTATTTTGCAAAGAAAAACAAAATATACAAATAGGGAAAAAGACCGGAGTCAATTCTGTCCAATTAAATATAATAATAATAATAATAATAATAATAATAATAATAAAAATTAAATGAAATACTCTACTGTCACTGGTCAGTGGTCACTCAGTATATGTTAAACCTTTATGACCTGATAAACACCCCTAACGACAGAATGTTTGCTGACAACAGTTGTTATTATTATTATTATTATTATTATTATTATTATTATTATTATTTTTTTCAAACAGTCAGGGAAAGTATTAAAAGTTCACTTTTCTGCCTATTCTGAAAAGTGGTTACTAACTGTGGTTTTTATCGGCTTTAATTGACCATTTCCCTTAGTTGCATATGTGCAGGAAACAGGAAGCTTGGAAATAAAGGCAGTTGAACCTTCTTTAAAGAAAGCCTGTCTTCTGGCCATTTTTTATTTTTACTTTTATCTAACTTTGCAGCAACAACACATAGTTTGCATCTCTGCTGCTGTTTTTCATTTAACAAATGAATACTTAGCACTTCCCAGCTTAAGTTACTGGGACTGGAAGTATCAGTAATCAGTTTAGAATGCATTTATTCTTCACGCTACAGTCTACAGCATCTCGGATTAGCATCATGCAAAAACATGAATGTGTACATGTAGGAACTACATGTCTGATTTCAGTTTCAGGTAGAGGATTAGAAGCTGCTATCAGAGTCTCATGACTGCTGAACACTGTGTCTTGCTGTCTGTGGCTTCTTGTTTTACACTGTGCAGAGGTTTGGGAGCATGTGGCTGCGTGCCTCTGCCATTGAGGAAGAATGCCCTCTTTGTGCGCAAGCATTCTGGGTAACATTGTTCGCAGAATTTAAGCCCAACACAGTCATAGAACCTGCAGGCACAAACTGGCGTAAGATTATCATCAATGCATGTGTTAAAATGTGTGAAAAATACCAGTTTTACAATATGTACACAAACAGTTAAATCAAAAATATATAACACGGTTGAGGAAAAGCAACAGTTATTGCTACTACTGATAAAATAACACTTGAAATTTGAGAAAGTAACCCAGGCTTTTATTGCATCCTACTTAGGTTACTGTGATTCTATGTATGTGTTTTATTTATTTATTTTTTTTTAATATATAAAATGCCAACTCAACTTTTTCTGACAAAAACGAGGCACTGTGATAACATCACACCTAAGCTTACCTCTCTATACTATGACTTCCTATTCGATCCAGTTCAGAGTTTATTGCTTCTTTTTAAAAGTCATAGTGATTTAGCACCAGGATGTTTGCCTAAACTTTTGCACTCTCACGCTCCACCCAAAGCATTAAGGTCCACAAATCAAATGTTGAATGACATCCGTGGAACCAGGCTCAGAGGCAGAGCAGAACAACCTGCCTCTGTACTTTAAAGCTGCACAGACTGCTAGAGATTTTAAGAACAGCTTAACAACAAATGTCTACTCCATTGCATACAGTTATATATTAGCTTTTGTTGGGTTATTTTATTTTATTTTATTCATTTAAGAAGTTTTAATATCTTATGTTTATTGTAGTTTTAATTTATTAGTCAAGTTATTGGTGAGCTTATGCAGCAATTTGGTCAGCCGTTGTACTAAATGTGCGGCTAATAAATTGAGAAATTGATAGTAACAACTTATTGTTACCATCACTAAATTGATAGTAACAGTTTTTAACGCTAGAAATTTCTTTGGCATCTTATTTCAAGGACTTTAGCACATGGGAATCGTTTGATCTTCGTGGTTTTGAAACTGTAACTTTGTAAAACCTTGATCTAACTTTGCACTAGTACAAAAACCAGTTGGTTTGGTCGTAAATTCGCTATTTTGTTTTCAACTTCTACCAGTCTTGAACTTGTTCACCTTTCTGGGTTGATGTAATTATGACTAGAGGGACCATGCCTCTCTCTCTGGTACATTAATAGCAGTCTGTCTCATGAATCATTGAAAAAGTCATTGGTCAATGAGGAATTTGCTGCAGCATGTGGATAAAACATGGTTACTTTTTAACTGAGCAATGAAATAAGAAACTAATCATAGAGGTCTCGGACAAACTCGCAAAGCAAACATCAATATCTTCTTTACTTCCTTGTGCGTTTACCAGAATGGGCTGTTCTTGTTGTTTATTGCATTCTCCTTTATTCTATCCAAAAGCAGCATGATGATCTCAGCTCTATAGGGAAATGCTTCTCTAGTATAGTTTCTGGTGGGGAAGTGGTTTAGTTCAGTTGTTTCTCATGTGGTCTACTTTCAGAAAATTCCTGTAGGTTGGTGTAGCCACAAGTGAACTTTTTAAGCTACTTTTGAATATGTAAATTAAACAAACTACATTCTAAAATATACAATTAGAATCATAGTAAACCCAAAAAGTAAATATATAGTATTTATTAGGGAAAAATTATGCTTGCGATCAGTGCTGCACCCTGGATCGATCAGCACTTTGCCCAAAGAATACGAGATGTACTAATAATATTATAGTTTGAATCGGCATGTCTGTGTTTTGATGTCACACGTGTGAAAATGCACGCATAACAATGCATTGTGTTCTCTCTGATAATGGCTAAATATGGGCATTGTGGTGAATGTCAGGAAGAGGCCCAGGAATAGATAGACAGATGAGTCCGATTGTGTGTGTGTGTGTGTGTGTGTGTGTGTGTGTGTGTGTGTGTGTGTGTATGTAGGTGTGTGTGTGTGTGTGTGTCTGTGTGTCTATGTGTGTGTGAATTTCAAAAACGGTGATGAATGTTCATAGTCTCTTCAAAAATTTAAAGGCTTGACTCCTTCAATTTTTCCGAAAATTAAAAGCTTGGCTGAAAACCTACTTTGCTGTTTTTATTTTTTTATTTTTTTTTGCTTTTTTCCTTTAAATGCCCTAGTGTGTGTTTGTGTGTGTGTGTGCGTTTGCTTTAGTGATGTTCTGACTGGTTCTGGAAGCGATCAGTTGAAGCTGAATTATTTATATCTTTTAACAGCAGATGTTCTTCCTCCCTTTGCTGATTAAGGTTTACAAGACTGACCACATACACTAAAAGGGTGAACATACGACATGCTCAGACACACGCACGCACACACACACACACACACACACACACACACACACACGCACACACACACACACACACACACACACACACATGTTTGTGTTGCTATCTTTGTGGGGACTTTCCATTGACTTCCATTCATTTCTACAGCCTAAACCTTACCTTTACCCTTTTCCTAACCCTATCCATCGCATACCTAACCCTAACCCTAACCAAAACTCAATTCATACCTTAGCCCTAAATCTGACCCCTGACCCAAAAACAGGGTTTCCCCTTGTGGGGACCAGGCTCCGGCGATTGGTCCCCACAACGTAGTATATGTCAGGAAAATCGTCCCCACAAGGTATTACAAACAAATGCACACACACAGGCAGAAAGCTATCGTTTTTGAGGTTTTTGTCTAAACTTTGAGGGCTTTATTTTTGAACTCGATGTGCTTTTCACACAATAGTAGCAGAGTGAAAACATTTCAGTTCTGACACTGTCCTCAGTGGCCGCTGTATCTCATTGAAGAAACACTCTCACAGCTGTATATACAAGCACAAAAAGGAGAAATTGCTGCTTTCTTTTTTACTTGTGGAGAAGAGGAGATAATGTTCCCATGTGAGTTTGTAGTTTCATAAAATATGTCTTTGATCTTATCCACAACGCAGACAAGAAAAGGAACCCGATTCAAGGAAAACGTTCAGTTGTCACATTTCAATGGCAACCGACCCACGTTTTCCTCTGTGTTTTTTATTCATCACTCCTGACCACTTTTCATGGGCTTTTGTTCTCACCGAAATGCATTTAAGTTGTTCATAGCAATATCAATAAATGCTTAAAAAACACCTCACATTGCAATACTCTGATATTGCACTGCGATTGGGAATAGATGTATTGCCCTACAAGTTTGTTGAATGCATCATGGATCAGCTAAAAAAAAGAGAGGCTTGAATATATGAATCGTTCCATTTTTGTGTGTTTTGAATCCCTAATCACAAAAAGATCTTTGTTCTTGGCAGGCTACAGAGAAGGATCCTTATGGAAGAGAGGAAGAGACAACGGCCAGTACCTCAGTCGAAAATTTATCCTGACGGAACGTGAAGGTGTCCTGAAATACTTCAACAAGCACGATGTGAGTTGGTTTCTAACGTGTCGCTTCGCACAATGCCACATAGGAAATTTTATGAGCTACATAAGCAAATTCAAGTCTACGTAATGTTCAGGTTGGGTTCAGTTATTGCATTTTTATTTATTTATTTATTTTTTTTTTTTTACATGAAATTGATAACTTAGGACTTAAAAGCATGATGCCTTACCATACTCCTGTTTTTCTCCCCTCAGGCCAGGGAGCCCAAAGCGATCATGAAGCTCAGCACAGTGAATGCCACTTTTCAGCCATCTAAAACTGGCATTTCTCATGGGCTGCAGATCACCTACTTGAAGGACAACAGCACCAGAAATATCTTTGTTTATCACGAGGACGGCAAGGTCAGCATGTTTTCTGTCAGAATTCCTTCAGTTCAAACATTTTAAGCCATAATAAATATCATGTACTGTGCTGGAGTCATCTGTGTCAAATGTGACAGAGGGAGAGCTGGAAGTGACTCCGTTTCTGATGCTTCCTGATGTTTTGTCCTAAAGGAAATTGTTGACTGGTTCAATGCAATCAGAGGTGCAAGATATCACTACCTGCAGGTGGCATTTCCTGGTGCTCCAAACTCTGAGGTGAGTATATGTTTAGTACGTGTCTGCAGAATTCATATGACTACATAGGTGTTTCTAAAATGATATATTTTCCTAGTAACTTTTACATTTCGAGAGTAACTTTGGTAGCAGTATTTGGAATATCTGAAAACCTCTGCTTCAAGAGTAAACATAATGGGTAACACCTTATTTGAAGGTTGTGCATAAGACAACTTTGCATTAAATTATCATAATTTACAAAATCATGCAAAGTTGGCACTTTTAATGGACTTTTAATGCAACTTTTAGAGGAAGTTTGCATTAAAAGTGTCATTTACCGAATGACAACTCATGACACAGTCATAAACATTGATAAAGACTTCTTCATGTTCATGACAGGTGTTATGTCATGTTTATGACGGGGTCATGTCAGCCTTATGCACACCCCTTCAAATAAAGTGTTACCATATAAGGTAATGTCAACTTGACAGATGAGGGAACAAAAGGCTGAACCTTAAACATACTGTATCCCGTAGATTTAAAAACATGATGTTGCCCGGAAAGAAAAGGAAATCAAAAATTGCATGCATTGAACATCACTGCATCAGTTGTGAAACCCACACTTGTTTTGTTTAAACTGTCAGGAGTCTAAAATTTCACATTAAACATGTTTAATTCAATGCTTTGTTTTTGACTTGCACCTAAAAGACACATTTTATCACACTGTTGCAAAAGAATGTCATGGAAATGGAGTTGCATTTTAAATAGTTTCATTAAAAAGACAACGCACTTTGAATTCAACAGTAAAAGTTTGGTCATGATTCTAGTCTCTATATGTGACATGCAGAACTATGAGTTTGAATAATGATAGCTTTTGCAAGTAAAACTAAAATGAAGCAGATCGCCTCCAATGCCAGGCCCTTAAACTTGGACTGTGAGCAGAAAAAAAAAAGTTTTTTATGGAATGATTCATTCTTATGGTGGAGTTTATGATTCTTATGATGCAGCTGACAAATCCACTGCTGTGAAGGCCATTTTAAAGTTCTTCTTAAGTAGAAAGGCATTTTGGCCTCCTCAGGATTCCCTGTAATTCTGACTGCTTTTCACCAAAAGCATCTTTTTTTTCTTTTTAAGAGTTTATTTCTTTGTTTTGTTATGTCCCTGGTTAATACCTTTAAATATATAGTATATGACAGACGTCACCTTTTTCACATATTTGTCACTTTATGACAACAAACTACACTTTGCTGGAATTGTGCACTATAGAAGACAAAGTCGAGCACAATTGTGAAACGGAAAGGAAATGATGCATTGTCCTCACACTGAAATCTGAAAAATGTGGTGCATTTGTATTGTATTACAAATAAGGTGACTTCTCAAAAGAATTGGTTAATTAGATTTTTGTATGTGCTTTCATATTATGGAGGACTGAATACAAATGCACTCCTCGACTTTCAAAATCTTTTTTTTGTAAAAATTTTGAAAATCCCGTACCAATTTCTTCTTCTTCTTTTGTACAAATACGTGCTTCTCCTTGTTGCTGCTATAACAAATTTCCAGCGAAATACTTTCAAGTTTGTGGTCATGATGTTTTTTTTTGTGTTTTTTTTCCCTAGTTGTTACCAAAGCTGACCAGGAACTACATAAAGGAGGGTTACATGGAGAAGACCGGACCAAAGGTGATCTGCCTATTCCTAGTCATTGACCCCAATGTAAACTTATAATTGACAATAGTGATTTAAAATTTATTGTATTGATGGCTATGTTGAACCCTTCCTTTCTGTCTTACAGCACACTGAAGGCTTCAAGAAGAGGTGGTTTACGATGGATGACAGGAGGCTCATGTACTTCAAGGATCCGCTGGTATACACTCAACAATTTCAAGAGCAATGTTGTAGTTTACCTCAGTCACCAGGAGATGCCACTGTGCCTCTTGTTTAGAGTAGAGTTTTGCGTGATAGTAGCCAAAATAACTAAACAGACTTGGATTGTGGTGCCTAACTTATCAGGACAGCCAGATAGCTTTTGTTTTTGCATGGTGATATCTGTGTGACTCTTTCTGTGTTCATAGGATGCCTATGCTCGAGGTGAGGTTTTCATCGGCAGCAAAGAAAACAGTTACACTGTCCTTCCTGGCCTCCCTGCCAACGTTCAGGGGACCCACTGGCCGTTTGGAATCACCATAGTGACTCCAGACAGGAAGTTTCTTTTCGCCTGTGAGACTGCAGAGGATCAGAAAGCCTGGATGGCAGCATTTCAGATTGTCATCAGTCGACCGATGCTGCCACAGGAGTACGCCGGTAAGCCGATTAATTAAGTGATAATGGTCACTTTTGACTCACAGAATTAGTCTGATGCGTTACATCTGTGATTTTTTTTCTTTTCTTTCTGCAGTGGAAGCTTATTTTAAACACAAACCATGATTGTGCTTCTGCTTGAAGTGCATCTCACAGCGGAGGCTTGCACAAAGCCTTGTGTTTGATGCAAAGACGAACGGCATTTGACAGCTCCTCCTCTTCATTAACAACAGGAGCCAGACTCATTTTCCCTGAAAAAGTCCATCACTCCACAACTGCCAGATGCCACGACATGTATAATATGCTACGTACAAACTTAAAATGGGACAAAACTGCTGGTGCTTGCATGTGAGGAAACATCAGTATCTAATTTTCTCAGTTACATTCGAGAATAATCAATACTGCAACTACTGGTCCTTGCTGCAAATAAATGACATTTGGACCATTTAACAGGAATATAAAGACTGAGAGTATAACATAGTACAAGACTAACGATGTATAGTCTCACATATGGATGCTATTTTGAATTACTGTACATGTATGAGTGCAATTGTATTTAATAATTTATTTTTTAATTGTAGGCTATATGTGTACAATACTTCTAGGATTGTATTACAAGCACTGATTTGCTATTTTATTCTCAGTTTCTGCATTAAGCAGCTTCATGATAAATCCAAGTTTAACATGTTAGTGGGTGACATGTTATTTAATTTACGTCCAGCAGAGGGTGACAAAATAACATTTTTTTTAAACAAAACTCAAGTCTTTTCTAAAATCTCCAGTGACTCATTAATTTTGCCTTCAGGGCTCCATCCGAAATAATTTGCCTGAACCGTGAATAAAAAGGCAAAGTAATGTTTTATGATGACCTATGGTTTCTATAAAGATGTATTAACACACTTTTAATATCAGTAATAATATTATTATTATGGTGCCAAAAACTATCCGTATGAACATGCAGCACAGAAAGATGTTCAGAATAAGACTCATGTGATGAGAAGAATACAAACAGGAATGTTTTTTTTTTTTAAAGTAATACACCTTTTTGTCTTTTCCAAAGAATAGATTTTATTGTAACAGCTACAAACAACAAGTTCAAATGTTCTTAAGAAAAACAAGGCATGATATATCATACTTATATTTATTCATATTGTAGCGCTGAAAAATAAAATATGAAGCAGCCTGCAGTTTTCATATATGACAAATATCACAACAGAACATACATTTACACAGACTTCTAATTGGGGATGACGCTGATCCTCATTTTTGTTGTCTCCAACTCTGATGTGAAATATTTAGGATTATATCTTACTCATACAGAGTCTGATCATTCATAAAGCGTACATTTTCTTTTCATTTTTCTTCATAGCAACAGCTGTTTTGGTTCATCTTGACACTTTGCAGGACATTATCAGCATGCGCCCTCAACACATTAAAAAACAAACCTCCCAACAACATGTTATCTAAGATGTGACTGAATGTATTTATAATTCTTGTTAAAGACAACTTGTCCTCTCTGATCTTGTAACAAAGTTGTTTCTAATCTAAAGTCAGCTCTGTGTTGATTTGACTTGCTGATAATTTGCCTTAAAAGATATTTCACTTTGAACTCCAAAACTTGTAGAAAAGGAGGTTTTAATGCTATATACACTTGGTGCTTTGCTTTTAACGTCATCAGATTTAATGAGAAGTGTTTCAGCCGATTTCTGTACGCGTCTTTCTTCCTTACACTCAGAGCCATTTGGGAGTTTCCAAGCATGTCCGACAAAACCACGGACAGTAAATCAACAACAGGTGATGGAGGTTTAGTTCCTTTAGGGTCTTGGATCAGCACATCCCTGTTTCTAATACAACATGTAAGATAACACCACAGAAAGTGCCTTTAAGGTACTATTAAGCTTTACTATAATTATTTAAATATGGAAAACATAGGTATTTACAACAAACATTCTTGATATATTTTAACACCTATAATAGTATTTAAACATTACATTTTCTTAATCCATTCATTTCCTGTCTCTGCTGAATTTCATTGCCACGGCAAAGCAGGTGCCTTTCTCAAATGGTCATCAGGCGACTGATGGGTTACATCCTGGACGAGACGTCGTCAAATCACAGAGCCAACACTTATGAAAAGTCAGACAAACAATTGTTCACTCACACACTCACTCACACACTCACTTTCTGGGTGATTTAAGTCAACCATGGCATGCATGATTCTGGACTGTGGGAGGAATACCGTAGTACCCGGAGAGGACCCACGCATGCACAGGGAGAACATGCAAACTCCACACAGAAAGATGTCAGCTAAAATTTCCAAGTTCAAGATGCTCTTGCTGTGAGGCAACAGATCTAACCACTACCCACAGTGCTACCCCAATTAGGCTGAAGATAAAAAAAAAAAATACATTAGATAATAACAAATAGAAGTTAACAGCGCAAGATAAACATTTGTACACAGGAATTTTCAAACTCTTCTCATCAGTAACTTTGTACCAAAAATAGCAACAACAGTTTGCTTTTTACTGTGTGATGAAAGGATGCATATCCCCAAATATTCACCCATGAATCACCAAAATATTCTGAATTAGTGCTGGTAAGTCAACCCGACCCCCCGGAGCCTGCTGAAAGACATCTATGGTCACTGAAACATGTACACAAGAAACATCAAAACAACTAGATTTAATAATCCACAGCATTCTAACATAAGCTGCCAATATAGATAAAAAATAATGAGGACATGTGGGAAATAAGCTACCTTGCAACTAAGCATCTTCACAAAAGGAAAAAAAAAAGAATCATGTTGTGAATAAATTAATTTGAACAAAAATAATTAGTCAGAGACTGTACAGCTGCCTTGAGAAGTAAGAATGTTCATTTTTAACATGGATCTAATTGAGCTGTTCTGTCTTATGTGTTCAATAAGACATTATCAGCATGCGCTGATAATAGCTAAAGAAACAATTAGGTGAATAGAAGAATGTGAAAGGGTTAAAACAAGAGAAACTTAATGTCAGGAAAATTTTACAACTGTGGAGACAAATCAGTGTCCTCCGTAAGTCCAGAAATGATTTCCAACATTAAAATGACCGTTAATTGGCGCATGGACGCACATTTTCAGCCGTTCAGGTCCTGCAGCAGCCGGCGCCCTTCATCTCCTTGTTCACGTACTCATGCAGCTTAAACCTTTCACTGGGATCCTTCATGAACCTATGCTTCAGCTCCCTGAAGTGAAACAAAAACAAAAATGAAAGTAGTAGCTCTACTATTCAGTTTCTCTTATTCCGAACTATTGGAAATATTATGGGAGACGTCTCTAGTAGCTTAACACCTTTATAGAAATTAGCCCTTTCTTCTTCATAAAATACCAAAAACTCATTTAGATTGGATGAAGAGTATCTCAGAATATCAATTTCATCTAGTCTTGAAAATGTTTCCCACAATTTATAATCCAGTGAACTGTGGCGAATCGGTATATTCAACTGTGAGGAAACTAAGTATACGGAAAATATCCACAATCTCTTCTGAAAACAGGCTTGTTAAAGCAACATGTCTGTTGTCTTCTTCTTCTTGTTTTGACAAAATTATACAAAAGACAGCTGTCTCCTGTTCTCTCAGAGATCATATCTCCAACACCCACAGAAAGAAAACGGTACTCACTTGGCCACAGCAGTGAAAGCCAGCTCTACATTCAGTCCTGACCTGGCGCTGGTCTCCATAAAGGGAACCCCAAACTCCTGCAGAGTCAAAGCATTGAATGTTTATCAGTGTTTAGCTTTATTGTGCTCAGTGCTGATGTGACAGAGCTCGCACTAGAGCTTATAATGTCTGCAGCTTTACAACCTAATCTAAGGAAAGTCATACACATTTCGCAGGTCTTTACCTTAGCGAGCTTCTCGCCATCTTCTCTCTTCACCACCCGGTTATGAGTGGCATCAGCCTAAGGTGACAAAAAGTTTTATATTTATAAATTACCCCTAAAAAGATTAAAAAAAAAACTGTTTTTTTTTTTTTTTTTTTTACTTTGTTTGACCACTTGCCTTGTTTCCAAGCAGCATCAGCACCACGTCTTGTTGGGCATATTCATGGATCTCAGTCAGCCATGCCTGGCAAATGCAATAGGAACAAGAAACCAGAACATATAATAAATATCTGTTACAAAAAATGTCCCACCTTAAATAAAACATAAAAAAAACACAATACATGTAAACCTGATCTCAAACTTGACAAGAACAGCCTATTAAATTTAATATAATTGATAAAGAAAAAAAAGAGAGAGACTACTGCTTCTTTGGCAGGATAATAGATCAACAAGTAAAGAAGATAAAATAAAATAAAAAGCAAAAGAAAGCTTTTGAAGAGAGACACATTCAGTGTTACTGTGACAAACCAGGTTAATCAACACTGTCTGCTACATCCTGTCTGATACACAGGGGAAAGAAACAACCTGAAAGAAGAACAAACAGACCTGTGACTGTTTGCTCTGAGAGCAACAGAAACATTTTCTGCTATCTGGGTTCCTAAACAACATCATTTTCAGGCCCACATTTCTCTAAGTAATTGTTGAAAGACAACAAAAAATAAAAATGTAATTAAAGGAAAATAATAATAAAAAAAACAATTTCAGATTTTAAAGCACATGGCTACTCTCTTTCAAAACCTATACTATGTTATATTATATATTTTTTAAATATAGCACCTTTAGCCATTGGTTTAGATGAAAATTTGGATCTGTAAATTTGATTATTTTACTCATTTAGAATTCTGGTGATGAATTTGTGTTGGTAAAAAAGAAAGTTCCCCCCCCCCCACCTCAGGATCTGCCGTTTCCTCCCCAAAATCTCACACATCCAGTAGGTCCAGGAAATCTTTATGACTGTCAGTCTGATTTCCCAAAAGGCAGATACATTTTAACGCTGATTACTTAAGCTCCTTCATTTAAGTGTTCAATCTACTTCCTCCATTTTGGTGTTAATGCTTCAAAGATATGATTCTGGGGCCTCCGTCACACTGTGTCAAGAACAATCAAGGTCTGTTTCATGCTTTCAGTGCACAGGATCATGACAACCTTGAGAAAAATAAAGTCACAGAAACTTTTTCTCTTCACAAAACGAACAATACTTTCCACGCTGATGGGGCTGGACTTGCGTCATGACTTTAAGTTCAATAGAGATTTCAAGCTGGTCACAGGTGTGAGTGTGCAGGCTGGCATGTCTCTTTTAATTAGCTCTGGGATGGACTGCAGAACTGATGCTCTATAGATCTGTTTTTTTTTCTGCTGGAAAAAAGGTGCTACCTCTGGCATGCTGGTTTGAAAAAAACAAAAAAACAAACTAAAGTTAACAGCAGGGAGCTGTACAAAAGAGGTGTAGGGCTTGTATGCTTTGGAATATTTCAACGGCAAAGGTAATAATTCAGAGGCAGTGATCCCTTCACTATGGTTAGATCAGAGATATATAAAGTATTTAGTGACACACAGCAAAATGTGAACATGTCAGTATTTTTGGCTTTTGATTTGGGTAAGATTTGAATAACTGGTGACTTCTGTTATATTGCAAGAGAACAAGAACACATATTCCAGAGACATGTTTTTGTTGTGACTTTTACTCTGGCATCTTAAATATGTGCACAAAATCTGTTTTTGAAAACTGGTTTGACAAAAATGCATAAAAGAAAGTCTTTATTCATGCTCAATAATGTAATGAGATAAAATAAGACGATTTAATGGGGACACAACATTATTGGACGTGCATGACACTTTGATATTTTTATATATGTATACATACATCTAAGTTACAATGGCACTCTATAAGCAGCATGTTTATTGTAAGCTTTGAAAAATATTTTAAGTCATTGAAAGAAAATAGGTGCTAATTGACTTTATTGATCAACAGAGACACAAAGAAATTAAAATTTATTTTGAACTGATGTCCACTCTCAGGTTGAGACGAAGGTAAAATGGGGTTTGAAGCAAATGCTCTTTTGAGAACGCTTATAGTAAATAATTATTTTTAAAATGAAGTTCTCTGATTCAACCTGCTTGTAGCTACTTGCTTTGTTTCATTTTTTTTAGTAAGCTTTTACAAAAATCCTATAATTGCTCTTCACATGTACAACATTAGCTCTTTGATCGATTCTCTAATTCGCTGCGTTTCCTTTAGATCAATGAAGCATCATAATGGATTTGACGGCGGTTGAAGTGATGCAGTCCTGATGGACAGTCTGTGGTTTGCATACAGTAAAGCTGCTCCTTTGTGGGCTAAGTGGGAGTGAGTCCAAAGATCACTTGACGGGGCGTAGACCTGAATCTAATTCAAATTTACATAATTAATGCTTCTTCAATATTCTGTTGGGCTTTTTTTTTTTTTTTGGGAAAATATAAGAAAGAAACATTTCACATTTGATTTGGTTTGAAGCGAATCATGGATGATGACATCTGTCACCAAACCCTGCAGTATAATTTTTCCCACAACAAGAGCACTTGACCTGTATGAGGAAGGCTTTGCAGCTTGCCTCGGTTATTCTCTTCATATGCTTGGATGCTCTCGATAAATAATAGCTGGTAATATGATTTGGCTATTTATAGCATGCTCCCTCATGGGTCATTTCACAAATACAATCAGTGATTCCAGATGAGGCCACTTGTCACTTCCATTCAAGAGAATTAACTCTTCCCGCTGCGCTCACTTCACGGAAAAGAGATACAATCAGATGAGTACATCTGTAAACATTAGTTTCGGTAAATCCTAATGAAAGTCATTTTGTGAAGCTGTGCAATTCCTACTTGCTACAAATGTTGCAAATGTCCTGTCAGTGTTGGTAAAGAGTTAAGTGTTACGGGCTGTCAACAAGTGATTTTCTCGCATCTTTACAGCAAATCAGAAGCTATAAGATGCCAAATGCCTTTTCAAGTAAATATTCTATGCACAGTTATTCCTTGGTGGAAGAGTCTTTAATAAATTACAAGCACCTCCTCTTTATAACCACCCCTAACAGCAACACTGGAGGGAAACCTGTTAGATGTTGTAAATCCCTGAGACCGGTCTAGCTGGAGCTCCACTGCAAGAGCTTAGATCAAAGCAGGTTAAGGTTTTCAATTTGCTCAGTTAAAGTGCAGGAATAAATCTAACTGAACATCTCTGAACCAAGAATTTCAGACTCTAGATTTGCGAAGCTGTAAAATACACCCCCAAAAGACTTACAGCTGTAACTGTAGTGAAAGGTGGTTCAGCAAAGCTGCAACAAGGGAGACAGAATACAAAAGCACTTTGTACATTTTCAAAAGACATGAGCAAAAGTGTGTAAGTTTTATTTTATAGTTATACCCTACTTTGAGTTGGTCTACCATGTATATAAAAAAACCCTTCCTCTCTGTATATTTGTACTTAGTTTTTCAGTGATAAAACATACTTAGTGAAAAAGTAAGTACAAATATACAACATTCAAATTTCAGAGGCGTTTTTAATTCAAATCCTGATGGTACATATTTACTTTCATATTAAGGGTTATGTCTCAAATGCATTTAATTTCTTCCACATAACACGTTAAAAGTATTTTTTAAATACATAGAACCACACAGCAATTCAAGACGAATTAACTATGAGCTATGCAGCAAATGGGCATTCCAGTTTATCAGAACCAGTGTAGTGGTCATTAATGTGGCTGATGTCTCTCTTTGGGTTATGCTACCTATGAGTCATAGTTTATTATTTCAACCAAATTTATGAACGGGTACGGCAGTGGGCCACTGTCTGTGAGACAGCTGCACAAGCAAGAAGCCGTCACCTGCAGGAGTCATGAGAGGGAAACTGGATTACACACCAGTGTTGTTCAGGGAACGATTCCTGGAGACAGTCCAGAATTAAGATGTTTGGCCCTAATCACCAAATGTGTGCTTGATTAAAAAAAAACAAAAAAAACAACAAAAAAAAACAACAACAAAAAAAACACATTCAAATACTCAAGACTCAAAATATATCGAGACAAATGGATCCCTAAGCTAATGACACTAGGGTGCAGAAATAGAATGAAGAAAGGATTACACCATTCATCAACCTGTTATTACAGCAAAGTTGAGTTAATGTTGTGAAAATGACTTTGGTTTTGCATTTAAATCACAAGGAGCAACAAGAGAACAAACCTGACAGGTACTAATTACATATATTATTCCTTAGAGGGCCTCATAGCCATTAATTACTTGAAGATTAGGTTTTTTTGAGGTTGCATAATGTTGAGTTTGTTTACCAAGGTCATAATGGGACTGTATTTTATGCTGCTGGCTGGGTAATCATAAGTGACACTAGATTGGCCTGCTTATTGTTAGTGTATATGTCTATATGCCTGGGCTATTCAGCCTCCCTTTCAAACCGTTATGCTAAAACTATTCAACGCCTTATATAACTAATCATTGTACAGGGAAAATATGAACGTGTCTGATATCCTCTGTGGCCACTGGGAGAGAAGAAAAGGGCTGTTTGTTCAGTTTCAAGGCTAATGCCAAGATCTTTGGCCAAATGCTCTGGGAACCAAATGCCAATAAACTGCACAGAGTCAGGAGGTGATAAATTGCTTCACCTCCTTATTTGACTTACATTAAAGTTTCAAAAGAGTATTACCATTCAAATTCAGCTTGCTTTGTTTGTAGGAACCAATAAAAACGATCCAACACTCTGAGCTGTGAGTCAGGATAACAAATCCAGACAATTTAAAACTTCTCTGAATTTGGTATTGAGTCTAAAAGCGAGTCGAACAAACTAGGAGATCAAGTTCAAGGGAACTTGATCTCTAATACAGATGTCAAAACTGTATCTATAGTTACTTTAAGGTAAAAAATAACCCTAAATTTGAATTTGTTAATGAAGAGGAATGTTGAAAGATTTACAAAAGTCTTTAAAATTACCACGTTGCAATGTTTCCTCAGAGCCAGTGCATACTGCTATTGACAATTAACTCTGCTGCTTGTCTCATTCTGTAAATTCTTCTCAAGGATGAACAAAACTGATGGAGGTCCACAGTTTTTTTTTTCCCCCTGATGTTTTTGCTGAATTTTTTTTGATGTTTTCATAATGCCACATAAGGAAGCAGCATGTTTGAGGTGTTTCCTTAT